TCCTCTGATCAGCAGAGAAATCTGTTTTCTGCATGCTGGAGCTCTTTTCCCTCAACGCAGGGTTAAATATGTCAGAGCGAAGAAGCCTGCCCACTTCTTCCTGAATCTCTTGGAAGTTCTTCCGTCTGAACACCACCCATGCCACGTATGTGCAGAAGTTGTAGAAACACTAAACAGAAACAGAGACCAATCCTACCGAATGGTTGTGCTGCAGAGAAAGCCTCCGGGAGGCCCAAATTATTTGCTTGCATAACTCCATGGAAGTCAACAAGCATAGATCAGCATAGACTCTCTGACCCAATATTACAGCACATTCTGTACAGTAGAGACTTGTAGCACAGGAGAATGCTTCTTAACGTGACACTTCCCAGAACCAATAGCTTTCCCAGTAGAACTCCGTGCATTTAGAACCAATCGCCTACTGATCAATACTCTTGTGTTTCCATTGAGAACAGTAATGTCTCTCTTTGCTGAGTCACTGCAATGTCACAGGGATTAAGTGGAAAATTGGACATTATTTTTTTTTAAATTTACAGAGAAGACTGGAAATGAAATTACATCACAAGTACTTCAAAAAAATGAGACCACATCTCGTCCATGCTCAGCAACTTCAGTATTAAAAGACCAAAGCTTAGATGTTTACCTCATTAGCACTAGGTTAAATATGAGGGATATTTGGCACTGACTGAATAGGTCCCTATTAGATAGAATTTCTGCTACGAGCTGATCTAGGCCAGAAACTTATAGCTACATGTCTTGTGTGTGAAATATCCACATCCGAGTGACAAAGCAACGCTCTCCTGACTCACGGTATACAGAATTATTCTGTCAACCTAGTAACAGCTTGGCAGGGAGGTGAATCAACTATGTTGTTGGGAGAGCCCCTTCTGTACGGGTAGGTAGGAAGCACTACAGCTCTGCAGTTGTGCCACTGAATCTGTCAGGTATGGACAAGCCCTAAGTAAGCACATCACAATCCACTGGAGTCCAAAATATTGTATTGGTTTCAAATGCTGTCTATGACTCTGGTGAAGTATGGTATCTGGAATTTAACTGTCTAAATCTGTTCATGGAGCTACTCCTGCACAGACATCTGGAAACATTACTATGAATGATGGGAAACATTACTGACGTCTTTAATACTATTAAGTTTCTGAATCAGACAATGTGCGGCTCTGTTGTGATCTTTGGATTTAACCTGAATGGAGGCTTCAAATTAAACTCTGGTTGCTTGCTGATTTTTTCTTTCCTTGCATGCAAACTGGTTTGTTATTGTAGGGTTGCTCATGAAAACTTTGAGCTACTTTGTTTTATTTTCTTCAGGTGTGGACAGTGAGGAACAACATGGAGGACTTCACATTTTGAGTAAAAGAGCACACAAAGTGATCTAAAACACAGGTAAATACTGGGAGCTGACCCACTTTCTCAGTGCCTTGTCTCAGCAGGTTAGTGACAATGCAAACAACTCACTGCTCTCTCCACCACTAGTGATCTGAGCCTAGTGCATCAGCAGAAACCATACTTATTTACTCCATTGACTTCAACAGAGCTAAGTCAACTTATGCTAGCTCATGATCTGGCCCAATATCTTGAACCATTTCTGGTGCATCCTCATTTCACCTTATTCTAGGATTAGCAAAAAAGCTCAGCATCTGTCCCTGAATGCCTCTTTCTTACCTCAAAGAACTCTCGGTCCTTCTGTGTTGATGATGTTTTTCTCCTAAGACAATAAACAATAACACAGTTAATCACAGGAGTTATGCTTTCAAGTCTCTGAAAGAAAATGCACAACACTATGTGGCTTAAGTAATTAAATTGGCCAGAGACCAAATGTCATGGGCCCGATAGTTTGAGGTGCTGAGCACCTGAGGGGCCCATTGAGTTCAGACAGAGTTTTGGGTTCTGTGCTTATTAAAATCAGACCCTGTGTGGATGGGATGTACTCAGCATTGGTCTAACTGTATACCCACTGAAGCAAATGGGAAAACACTGACTTCAATGGGGGCACGGGATGGGAGCGAGCTGAGAGACGATACATGAGAAGTGGAAGGGAAAGGATGTCGGTGACTCAGAGAGGAAATGTAAAAAACTCTCAGAATAGCCACAAAGCTGAGGGAGAACGGTCTCTGTTGAAATAACAGTGACATGCCTCATGAATAGCTTGCTCTGGAAGTATCTCAGTCAGATTCACACTTGTGCTACATATTTGGGACACGGAAGCGGCTAACCTCTGACATGGACATTCCTGTAGATCTGGAAGTAGAATCCCCACCCTCTGAGGAGCCATTCAGTCATTTGGCAAGAAAGCAGACTGTGGTCCCAAGGAATGGGGAGCAATTTCCAACCTAAACCAAGCCCTACAGATTTCTGCAGGATCTGGGTAGATCTTAAGGGACGTGCAAGAGGCTCTGTACCTCCATGTCAGCTTTCAGGGCCAAGTGTCCCACATGACCACAGCTTCCCCAGGTGTCCCTGCATCCAGGCACCTCAATACTGAAGGGACAACAAATGTAACATGTTCTAGACTGCATCAATTGTTCTCTGGTGTTTTTACCTGCCGGGGGAAGATGTGCGTAACCTCCCAGCCTCACTCCATTCTTCTGCCCACTTTTCCCAAACCTGCCAACTCCCCAGCTGCAGATCCCAAACCTCACATGCTACACAGTATCCATAAAAGCAAGAGGAGATGGTGGCACAGACACAAATGAGTCCCTTCAGAATGGGAAGGGTCAGAGCCCCTGAGCTAAACAGTGGCCAAGCAACATGGCACATTGTCATTTCATAAGTCTAAATTCACTTCAACATATCTGATTACTCATCAGAACCTGCAATTCTAGGCCCCCAATTACAGGAAGGATGTGGATGCACTGGAGAGGGCAACCAAAATGATTAGGGGGCTGGAGCATATGACCTCTGAAGAGAGGCTGAAGAAGTTGGGTCTATTTAGTCTGCAGAAGAGAAGAGTGAGGAGGGATTTGATAGCAGCCTTCAACTTCCTGAAGGGAGGTTCCAAAGAGGCTGGAGAAAGGCTGTTCACAGTAGTGATGGATGGCAGAACAAGGAGCAATGATCTCAAGTTGCGGTGGGGGAGGGTGGATATTAGGAAAAAACTATTTCACTAGGAGGGTGGTCAAGCAGCGGAATGGGTTACCTAGAGAAGTAGTGGAGTCTCCATCCCTAGAGGTGTTTAAGTCTCAGCTTGACAAAGCCCTGGCCGGGTTGATTTAAGTGGGATTGGTCCTGCCTTGGGCAGGGGGCTGGACGTTATGGCCTTCTGAGGTCTCTTCCAGCTCTATGGTTCTCTGATTCAATGCACTATCCACCATCAACTTTCCAATCATAAAATCTAACAGTGGATTAAGTAAAGTGACCCCTTAAGAACTGATTTCACCTTTTAGCACAATATAGCTTGTGCAGTCCCTTAATGAAAAAATCCTCCAACTGCTTTGTGCAAACCCAACCACTCTCAAGGAAAGTTTAATGGAAGATAGTGTTTCAGCTGGAGCTCAGCAGAGTCACGGTTTCCATTCCTCTCCCTTCCAAAGCTAACCATGTTGGGGCGGGTAGAATAGTAATAGAGATGTAGCCTAAAGTTCCTAAAGCTGGTGTGAAACGGACAGCAGGTAGTTCCTGTGTTTGGTGCACCCTGTGGGAATGTCTAGACTACATTGTTTTTTCAAAAAAAACCTGCCCTTTTTTCGAAAAAACTTCACCTGCATCCACACTGCAATCGCGTTCTTTCAAAATTAAGCCAAAAGAACGCAGGGGAGTTTTCAACATTGGTAAACCTCAAATTACAAGGAAGAACGCCTTTTTCAAAAGAGCGCTTTTGAAAAAAGGCATGTGTGGACGCAAAACAGAAACATTTTTTGAAAGAAGAGGCGATAGATAGAAAAAAGCCATTCTGTGAATAGCAATCAGCGCTTCCTTTTGAGAACGCATCCATGCAGTCTGGATGCTCTCTTTCAAAAAAGCAGATTGCTTTTTCGATCCGGTTTTGAGGAGTGGATGCTCTCTTTCGAAAGAAGCTTGCAGTCTAGATGTACCCTTACTCATTAGCTAAGAAAACAACAGAGGGGGGTAGAAAAATGTCAAACTTCAACAAGCTGAGAAAGGGGCATTGGAAGAAAAATGAATGGCTAAATGGATGCAATGCGTCCCAAGCACTAGAAACGCAGTTAGAAGTTTGTAGAACTGCCATTGCATCTGCAGGAATGAATACATTAGACATAGCGAAGGAGAGTGCAGCCAAACCCAGATGCTACATTAAGCAGAGGCACATGCGCTTATGAAAACACAATGTTCTTTAACTTTTATAGGAGCCTGCATTGTGCATACGGGTGCAACTGAAAATAAATGCTTCATGTGCTATTTTAGCAGCTCTCTGATCCACAGCTATGAATTGTATAGACAGGGGACCACAAGGTCTGGGTGAGTTCTGCCTCAGATGCGGCCCAGCTTTTGCCATGTTTGTGTAAGTAACGTATGCAACTCTGAGAACACAACCTGGTTTTTTCCCCATTATGACAAAATGCCCAGAAGGAAATTGGAATTATTAAAAAAATTGCACAATTTGTCCCAACAGTTTCAGAGGAGAAAGCCAGACACACCTATTCCTTCCTCAGGGTTGGAGACATAAAAGAATCAAAGCTCAGACAAACAAATAAGTCTGCTGGGGAACTCCTCACAGCACAGTCTGCGATAACATCAAAATAGGACTCCTAAGCTGTACTTCACAAACATTTCAATCATTATTAAGTTGAATGTGGACACCATTTGAAGCCTCACGCTACTCTTCCTCCAGAATAGACTCCTTGGAGAAAACTTCAAAGGAGTAATAAATAACTTAACAACTAGGCATGGATAATTAGTACAGCTGGGTGGGAAATGCTTTTCCCATCCCGGGAAAAATGGGACAATTAAAAAGAAATCCTCTTTCCAAATCAGGACAAAAAGTCAAAATCTTTAAAAAAAAAAAAAAAAAAAAGTCACAAACCAAAAATCTGAGAAGCAAGCATGTTTGGGTCAATTGAAACATTTCATTTCAACATTTTTTGAAATGGTTTCATTTTGACCTTTTTTACATTTTAAATGTAATATAGTTAGCTTAGATTTCTCAAAGTAATATGGAACCAAAACAACATTTGTTTTCATTTAAAAAAAAAAATGCTAAAGTGTACACCATTTTAACAATTAAAAAAAAAACTCCCTAGGTTTTTCTAACCAAGAAATTAATGACAAACCAACCCAGTCCCATGAGCAGTTTAAAAAAAACAAAACAAAGAAAAACAAACTACAAAAAAAAACCACCCACAATATTTTCCAATGAAAACAGTGAATTGAAAAATGTTCAACCAGCTCTAATAATTAGTAAATGTTGATCAGTGTCACAAAACAGCATTTGTTTTAAACAGCCTGTGAAATTAGCTATTTCAAGGTTAATCTAATTTGGGGAAGTTTAGATATATTACAGGTAAAACCTCTCTAATCCGGCACTCTGGTCCAGCAACATCCATGGCCCAGCAAGATTTTAGTTAGCTAGATGTCCACTTACCATGGGCGTGGCCAAGTTTCCTGTGGTTCTATAAAGTTTGTTTATAGACCCACCAGTCTTGGCACTCAGTGTTCTGTATTAGTTAGCTCTAATTTACCCCAAATGTCTTCTAAGAGTCCAGTAAGCAGTGGAAATGTTGATAATGCTGCTAAACAGTATTGACCTCCCTTGGTCCAGCACTGCAGGGCTATGTCTACACTAGCGGCTTCTTGCGTGAGAAATATGCAAATGAGGCTAAGCCTGGAATATTGCCGAGCCTCGTTTGCATACATAACGAGCCGCCATTTTTAGCAGAAGAGGCTCTTGCACCAGAAGGAGCTGTCTACACTGCCCCTTCTTTCGCAAGAAAAACCCTCTTGCACAATGCCGTTATTCCTGAAAATAATCAGCGTAACAGCGTTGCGCAAGAGGGTTTTTCTTGTGCAAGAAGGGGCAGAGTACACAGTTCCTTCTGGCGCAAGAGCCTCTTCTGCAAAAATGGCGGCTTATTAGGTATGCAAATGAGGTTTGGAGATATTCCACATTTAGCCTCATTTGCATATTTCTGGCACAAGAAGCCGCAAATGTAGACATAGCGCTTAGGTCCCAAGGATGCCAGACTAGAGAGGGTCAACCTGTATTTATATAATTACAAAACATGTTTTTGTCTCGCAGATGAATGGACGGATACAGTCAATTCATGATATGTAGGACTTTCAATTGACTTCAGTGGGAGCAGTAGGCCAATGCTGAGCACTTTTGAAAATTCCTCTCTTATATGGATAGGTATTTTCAAAAGCACTAAATATTGGCCCAAGTCTGCTTCACCTGAAGTCAACTGAAAAATCCCATATATACTTGATTGCCTCCGTCGTTCCACTGTGATGCTTACCAGATAACCAGTTAACCCTTAAACTCTACCTATAACAGCTGATTATAGGTGTTTACATGGCCACTGTGTTGACCTAATTTCATCAACTGCTACTCTACACTACTAAGGAAGGGGATGTTACTAAATTGGCTTTTACGTTAGCAGGAACATAAAAGGAACATTTAAATGAAGATGCTTGGATAGCTAGGTTGATGCAAGGCAACTTATGTTGACCTAACCGTGTAGTGTAGACCAGGCCCTAGACTCTAACCTCTTTGAGGAAGCAACTATGTCTCCCTCTGTGTTTCTGCAGAGCCTGGCACAGTGGGACCACAGTCCTATTCAGCTTTTTATTTTATTTTGTTTTTTTTTAATATAACCTTCTCTATATATAGCTACAAACCTGCTCTTTTCCTTCTACAAGGAATGAGAAGGGAAAGAATTCTCCATAAGTAAGCCAGAACTATTGCGCCATCGATTTCTTGTCCAGGGAGTTTTATCCTAGCAAGGATAGTGAACAGATTAGCTCTGCAAAGCCAGTAGCTCTAGCTGGCCCAGAGAAGACATTGCGCAGGTTGAGTCTTGCACCTGCAGCTTCTGAAGCTGTATTACAGCCTGTGCTCCAACCAGGAAAATAAAATGCTGGCATGACTCTCCCTGTCCAGTCAGCAAGAAAATGAAAATAACCCCTAGGCACCACTCCCCCATTGTGATCAGCCCAGATATCCAGCAACTGGCCATGCAGTACTGCGTGTGCTGGTCACACAATTCTGTGGATCCAGGGCACACAAGGAGCACTTGCGCTGCACTCTACACTTCACGCTATAGAGCATATGATGAGTGAGATTACAACACGTGGGATTAGCAAAATAAGTGCTCCTTCTTGGCCTGCTCACATTGCCAGTAACCCTCTACTCTTCAGTAACAGGAAACCCCATTTCCCTCCAGCCCATCCAAGTGGAAAGACAAGACATGTACGCCCACGTACACGCCATTCACCAACATGGCACAGAAAAGTTGTTTGGTGCAAAGGAGCCTGAGGCTTGGCAGCCATTGAGGGTGTATCTATCTATACAGCAGCTAGGAGTGAGCCTCCATGTCCTGGCAGACAGACTCACGCTAGCCGCATTCATGTCCATTTGCTAAAAATAGCAGTGTAGACGTAGCAGCAACTCCTGACATTGCACGGAGCCAGCAGGCCTGGAAGGCTGGCAGTGAGTTGCCCTCCTCTTAGCTGCAAGGGATAATACATCTTCATGCAGGAGTCTGAGCAAAGAAGGCAAAGTTTTGCAGCCTCAACACCCCATGTCTCATTCTGTTTGATTATTTCCTTCTCATTCTCTCCTTCCATCTCCCAATTTCACCTTCATCTCTCTCCTCTTTTACTATTACTACTCTCTCCTCTTCTTCCAGGTCCCTCTCCCATTCCCCCTTTCATCTTCCTTTCCCCACTTTTCTATGGATCCCTGGTCTCCTCCAATACGCCCCTCTCTCCTTCCCCATCTTTCTCAGCCTCTACCTCTTTTTCATCCCTCTCTCCATCCCTCCCAGTCCTTGGTGTGTGTGTTTGGGGGGGGTGTTCAGGCTAACCATGCTTTGGGCTAGCTCCAGTGCTGTATCTTCTGGCTGACCAGTACTGTACTGCTGCAGTGAATGAGTCAAGAGGTCTGAGCCCCACAGCCCTACACTTAGGTTATGTTTACACTGCCCCTCTCTTGCAGAAAGACATATACAAATGAGGCTAAGCGTGTAATAGCGTTGCGCCTCATTTGCATAATTAATGAGGTTCCATTTTTGCACACGAGGCTTTTGCGCAAAAATGGAGTCTCAATTATGCAAATGAGGTGTGGCGATATTCCACACAGCCTCATTTGCATATGTTTTTCCACAAGAGAGGTGCAGTGTAGTCATAACCCCTAAAGCACCCCACCCCAATCCCTGCTGCTGCTTCTGCTCAGGCTTCAAAAATGCAGCCTCTTCTCTTCACGTTCCATCCTTCTGTTGCTCTTAAGGGTGTTCTGCAGCTCCCAGACCCAGCTCTGCTATTGCACTAGTTCAGACCTAGCGTAAGAGAAAGGTGTACTGGGATCTGAAGAAAGTTTTGAGGCAGCCAGTAGTTACAGTAACTGGCTGCGTGTTACCCTTCCTCCACAATTCGCATTCAAGATCTGGGATGGATGGGCATTGGCAACTCTGCTCTGGAAAGCATCGTTACCACGGCAGCCTGAATCTGGAGGGACTGGGGAACAGCGTGGTCATGGAGGTAGAGAGCAGAAGGCTTCAGCAACAGGGCAGCCCAGATGACACGTGTGGGTGGGCTGTGCCAGCAGAGTGCACTGGACATAGTTGACCACGGCTCAGAGGAGGTATGTGACACAATGCTTGAGTCACAATACGGGATGTTACATGGATTAATTCATTTACCTGTCTCCTTCTGTGACGTATTAGCCTTCCCTTCTCCTGGCTGCACTGTCCCTCACAATCTCCCCGAGGCTTTGGAGATGGCAATTAATGTCAACACTGTCATTTGCCCATGCATGTCCGGACCCACTCAATACCAAATCACTCCTGTCGCCCCCCCTATGGCTTCTGCACAGCTGGATCTGAGCTGCAAGTCGAGTATCCGACAACCCGCCGCAACGTGTCAGTCCTGTGGCCTGTGTTCTGCAGAAAGGTCAGACTAGAGGATCACAGTGGTCCCTTCTGGCCTTACAGTCTACGAATCACTTTGCCAAGGGGGCCAATAGAATTGCCGGGGCCCCTGGACAAGGTGCAGGGAGGACCTGGCTCCACACTCCCGAAAGGCTGGGATTGAGGGTGAGCCTCTCCCCACCAGCAATTCTGCATATCCCAGGGTGCACTGCACGGGGCCCTGGCAGCAATGGAAAGGGCCTGGGACTCTGGCTAGCAGTCGGGAGCCCCAGGCGCTCACTCTCGCTCACACTCACCCCCTCCCCCCCCCCGTTGGCAGGTTGCAGTTGGAAGCATCCTATTTAAACCAACATTTGGCATTTTCAGAGCTGCTCACTTGGCCCTGGCTAATGCTGTCCCTCCCGCCGTGCTCACGTAGACGGGGTAATTGCGGGGGTTTGTCTTTACCAGAGAAAAGCTACACTGCAATTAAGCAGAGTGACTGCAGCACATCTGAGTTAGCTTTGATCAAAGCCAGCCGGAGTAGCACTAGCAAGGGAATACCAGTGACATGGGAAGCTGCAATGGTTAGCCCTGCCTGTCTGGAACACAGCACCCTCCATTTTGCTTTGGCTGCAATGCTATTCTCTCTCACGTTCACTTTGTTCTAGCTGGATCTCAGCTAACTCGGGGGTGTCCATGCCTGCTGTAATCACACTTCCTGAGCACACTGTAAACATCCCCTACATGAGGGCCAGTGCACTAAATAAGGGTCCTGACACATGCTTGAGTTGGCTGGATGCCAGGTGTATTGGCAGCTATGGCGTCACTACGCAGTGTAGAGTCAAGGTTGGCATAGTTAGGTCGATGCAGTGTCAGTAGAGACACCACATTGCTTATGCCGACTGTTACCGGCTTTCAGGAGCTGTCCTACAATGCCCCACACTGATTACAATCAATACATGCACCTGGTGAAGAAGAGTCATCACAGGGAAAATTATTCAGTGCATTTCCTTACTTTCCACAAGCCATGTGATGATGCTCAGCCATTCCTAGTCCAAGAATAAGGATGCAGTACACCTTGGCGAGATGTTTCTTGGTTCCTTCTAGCTTAGCCAACGTCTCCTCCCGTTCTTTTTGGTCCAACACACTGGGGGTTCTGTTTTTGAAAATAGAAAAAATAGTGACTATAAAAGGTGTGTCTATAAAGTATTATAATAGCTCTGTGTAGGTGAAATAGGTCTGACTGCTTATGAAAGGAAAGAATATGTATAATCATCATCACACTGCATGAACCAACCCAGAGTTTGCAGCCAGATCAATGTAGAGCTTTTCTTCAGGGCTAGTGGGGAACCACAGCATGGCCCCATGAGCTCTCTCCGACTCTGAAAGCTTTGTTAGCTACACAGCCACAGACTTCCAGGGAATCCCTCTGGCTCTATCATGCGTGAGAACCATTCTTGAAGCCTAATCAGAGACTCTCCGGACTTCTTGCAGGTTCAGATATATACCCTGGCCCTGCAAATGGATCCATACTGGGGAACACTTTCCTGTATGATTGGGGCCACACTGAGCAAGTATCGCCAAAGTCCTTTCAAAAAAGGCTGAAAAGGAGGGGCCCTCTCTGGGTAAGGAGTGTTGTGTGTGTGCGGGGGAAGACACGAGGGGCAGTCACTTGACTGGTGCCCGCCTTGTGTGTCTGCTCAGCAGTTCCCACTGGACAGGGTGATGGGGAAAAAAACCTAGATGAACCCAGAGAAGCTTTGACACAAACTCCTCAATAACCTTTCAAGGAACACAGAAATAACTAGTGAGTTCAGTCAGGTACTGCCCAGCTGAACAGCAGAGCGCCCACAGCAGCATGTGTTTCTACTGATGGTGCACATCCACATATGCCTCAGAGCAACGTAACAATTTATTCCACACATGGTTGGAAAAAAATAGGCAACACTGATACAGAGCCAAATCCCCAGAAGTCTGTCCCACAAAAACAAACTAGTCACACTTTATATTAAGGCTTCATTTATAAATGGATTATAAAGGATTGAGTGAGAAAAGCAGGAGAAACAAAGAAGGAGACATAGAAGCCTATCAGTATTTTACCAGGTATAGCCATAGAAGCACTGGTAGCATGACTCCAAGAAAAAGCTAAAAGAGAGATAACAGTGCTGCTAGCTGAAAGAGGCTTGGAACTGTGAGTAAAGACACCATCCCCTGTTGTGTGATTTCTCCTGTGTTCATCACAACAGGACTTTTGTCCATTCTTTGTAAATAAACAGGAGTGAATCAAAGAAAGACCTCTCTCTCATCAATTTCTCCTCCTCACAACACCAACCTCTGAGACCTTGAATTTAATCTGCTTGGGTCAAAACTAGGTAACAGTATATAACCACCTCCCATACACTTCTTATGCTACAACAAACTTATAACATCTAGTCATACTTTATAAGCTATGTATAAAGGGGAGCCTTAAAACAAACCATGACCCCAAAATCAAAAACATTCCTTGGGCACAAGACTACCCAATACAAATTCCAAGCAGAATCTGTTTAAGGAAATGGATGGAGGTTGAAATCTGAGATATTATAGGAAGCTACTTTTCAGTTTAGCTACTTTGGAATTTCTATTGTAGCTCCATAATATGTGGACATGAATTTGGCAGGCTGCCTGGCAATATCAACCTTCTAAGGGTTGATGGGTCAAAAATCTTGCCTCAAGCTAGGAAAGATGTTGAAACATCACAAGCTGCTGATTAGCTAATCTAGTACAGAGCTTTACAGGCCTTTGCTTATTTATAATAGCTGCTGTAAATTATGTGGGACATAGTGAACTCTTATCTGATTACTTGGAGTGCTATCTTGCTGGGCTGGGCTTACTACCATGATTAATCCCAGCAAAATTAAAGGAATATTCTTAGTAGTTTGTTAGCACTGCAGTAGCACTAAGAGGAGATGGTGGCTCCATATTACGGGATACGGTGTACACATACATGGTAAGAGGCAGCCCAAGTCCCCAAGAGCATACAGTCTAAATAGACAAGATAGACAAAGGAGAATGAACTTACCAGGAAGGGAGGGGAGACTATTCTTTATAGTGAGCAGTATGACTAGGGCTAAATGTTTGTAGGATTGGGCCCTCAGCCTTTACACTGTAAATTGTGCCTGCTTGTGTCTGCTTTTCAAAACATACCGGCAATGATCCCCGGGGAGATAAAGGACATTTACATTCAAATGTCTCAGTAGAGCCAGTCATGGGAACCCTATTCTATATCTACTGCAGGTTGAAACTCTTTTAACTGGGATTTTCTGGTCCAGCAACATCCATGGTCCAGCACAGATGTTGTAGGGCCAGAGAGTCCTGATGGAGGGCCAGCAGCAATGAGCTCTGCGGGGCAGGCAGGGCAGCGGGCTGCCCACAGCAAGCTGTAGGCAGGGCTTCCAGTGCGTGGCAGCCCAGCAGGGTTGGGAGACCCGGCGTGTGGCTGTCCAGTGGGGCTAGGAGCCATGTTAGCTCGGTAGGGCAGGGAGCCACCACAGGCTCCAGAGCTCCAGCATGATGCACACGACTGCCCTGCAGGTCCCAGAGTGGCGCGTGTGGCTGCCCAGCAAGTCCTGGAGCCCCAGCGCAGCATGTGCGGCTGCCCAGTAGGTCCCAGAGTCACTGCATTGATGGCTGCCCACCTAGTGCAGTCGGCAGGGCAGCGGGGTCAGCAGAAGGGAGGGAGCTGGCTGGGGGGCCAGTGGACCACGCCAGGGGGGCTGGTGGCAGGGGTGCATAAATGACCTTCCCTGGTCCAGCAAAATCCTTCATCTGGGACCAGTCAGGTGCCAAGGGTACCGAACCAGGGAGGTCCAACCTGTATAAACTTGATTCTGCAGTCATCCTTGCTCAGGTGTGGAGTCCCATTGATGCTACAGTACTACAGGCAGTCCCCGGGTTACATGGATCCGACTTACATCGGATCCCTACTTACAAACAGGGTGAGGCAACCCCGCACTAGCTGCTTCCCCCCAGCAGACCAGGGAGACGCGGAGCGGCTTTTCTCAGCAGACACCTCAGCTTGAGAATAAAGGACTGAGGGAAGTGAGGTGTGGGAAAATAAAACTGAGCTCTGGAGAAATGTTTGGCTAGAGTTTCCCCTACAATATGTACCAGTTCCGACTTACATACAAATTCAACTTAAGAACAAACCTACAGTCCCTATCTTGTACGTAACCCGGGGACTGCCTGTATTCACTTGAGCAAGGGCTGCCTGCCTGCATGCACAGTCAGGCCCTGTATTCTTAAACCAGTAAAGGCTCCTACTTACACCATAAAAGCTTTGGGTTTCTTTTCCAATGCAATTTTTTCCAGATAATGTGACAAGTAGAAAAGAAGAGCCATGAGGAACTCATCCAATTGCTTACTCCTAAATGGAAGACAGCAAGATCACTATCATGTAAGTAACACAGCTCATGTAGGGATGAACCTCAATACAGATCCTTGCCCCACAGCGCCTACAGTCTACCAACACTTAAATGCTTAGCCTACAGCTTCCTACCCTAGTAATCCTACTTATTAGTAATAAGCACCAGTTAACTGGTTACTGGTATGCATCACCTGGTAAGGTTAACAAGTTAAGCTTTAAGCATTAATGGTAAGACTAAACAGTTAACGGATTCCGGTAACTGGTTAACCAGCAGCCTGGCCGGGCAGGAGCAGAGGGCGCTTCAGCACGGTTGGGTGTGCTGCGCATGGGGGGTGCTCCAGTGTGGCCAGGCCAGAGTAGCTCCCCACCCACAGTGCAGTCCAATGGGCCTGGTTTAGCCCAAGCAGCCCCCCACCTACAGTGAAATGGGCAAAGCCTGAGCAGCCCCCACCCACAGCAAGGTGTGGCAAGCCCGGCCCAAGCAGCCCCACCCACAGTGCGGCGGCGGCAGCCTACCCTGGTCAGAGCAGCCTGCGGCACATGCCATGGGCAGAAGACTGCTCCAGGCCAACCAGGCCCTCCTGCATGTTGCCGCAGTCAGGGGACTGCTCCAGGGTTAACTGGTTAAACAGTGTTTCTTAAACTGTGTTCTGCGGCACACCAGTGTGCCACGAGGCAGTCAGAGCTGTGCCGTGGAGAACTACAGAATTCAACATGGCCACCCTTAAAGGGGTAGTAACATGCCATGGGCAGAAGACTGCTCCAGGCCAACCAGGCCCTCCTGCATGTTGCCGCAGTCAGGGGACTGCTCCAGGGTTAACTGGTTAAACAGTGTTTCTTAAACTGTGTTCTGCGGCACACCAGTGTGCCACGAGGCAGTCAGAGCTGTGCCGTGGAGAACTACAGAATTCAACATGGCCACCCTTAAAGGGGTAGTAACCTCCCCCCCCCCCCCCCCGCCAAATTTCCCCAGGCCTTTTTTTTTTGCTCAACAAAATATCCTTGGTGTTACCCATAAAAAAAATTGTTTGGTGTTCCTCGGTCTTAAAAAGTTAAGAAACACTGGTTTAATCGGTTAACTTTTTAAATGACAGTTTACATCCCTAGTGAGCACTACACCCACTATTAAGGATTTTCAGGGATATGCTCCTATCGACTAATAAACACAGTCCAAGAAAGATGCTGAAAAGTGGGTCTGCATGTGAACATTCCAGAAGCTGGACCTTCTGAAGCAGGTGGGTTACAAAACATATGACTTCTGTGTACAGAATACATCATATGACTGGAACCTACATTTCAAAGTCCAAGCAGAAAAAAAGGACTCTTCTCAAGTGATCATTCCCTCAGGGCTAAGATTATGGCTTTAGGCAGGGCACTGAGAAAAAAGGTACATGGAAGTGGAAGAGGCCCCATTGCGCCTCATGGACATGCCTCAGGTACAATTCCTTCTCTACTTCCCTCCTGTTCTGGGCAGTAAGGTAGTAACTTGCTGCTGACAAATACCAGCAGCAAATTCTAACACTATCTGCACCAGAGCAGCAGTTCTAGTGCCACACCCAGTGTGTAGGTAAGATGCATATGGATGCTATTAGGATTACTACTGTGCATGAGTGTTCAGTCCCAGATCAGAATCTAGCCCTTAGTAAACAAATGAAAGACCCTTTCATAAAATTAAGTGAATTAACTCGCTGTACTCTGTCAGGGCTGAAATGCATTTATTAGCACCTTCCACTGAATTTTATACTTGACAGATGAAAGATTTTAAATCTCTAATATTTCACTCTCCACTTTTTACAAGCTCTGAATCCATTACCTTCAGTTATTAAAATACACAAACATTCTTAGAACAAATTGCAAACTGCATATGTACCTCATTATTGATGTGAAAGATGGTATATGATACGATTCATCTTCTTGTACCAGAAACAAAGCAACATCTAAAAATGCACAAAGTGGGAAAAAAGT